AATGTTTTAGTATTCAAGTTTGCATGTGCAAAGCAGAGTAACACCAACCCAAGACAACACTTCAATGCTGGGATTAGTTGCATGGGTGAAAATAGAATGTCTATAAATTCACAAGCAATGATGGACCACTGGATTCACTCCATTCTTGTAAACTGTACATTTGTAAGGCTTTATGACTTCAAATAATAGTTTGGAATCCTTCACCAAAAATTACAGCATGATACATTTTAACAAACAAACTTATATTACGAAACATATGTTTGTAATTAGTAATTCCTCTGTACTGAGCAAAAAAACTCCTTAAAATTTGCTCAAATTCTGTTCATAATACAATTTTGACACCAGAATGCATATGGTCTTTGTTAGTCTTATTTTGAGAAGATGATTTTGCAAGTATTTAAGTCTGTATTTCATGGGAGCAATCTTCTTTCATCATTTTAAATGGCAATTTACAACTGCTAATTCTCTCATTACTTGGTTTTTCTATTTAACCACATGATGCTGTAGATCTGTATTGCATAAGTACTTGTTTTCTTGCTTTAGTTATTATATGGGCTTTTTTTTAATTATACATCAGCAGTAAACCAAAATGCAGCATTTTTTCATGCTTCTCACTGTCAGTTCCCTAACTAGATATCCCATTTTTGTCTTTTCTGTTTTATTTTGTTAACTCTGGGAATTAGGGAATGTATTTTACTCGGCTTTGTAGTGTACTTCAGACATTAGCAGAATCATATTTTAATTATGCCTGCCAATTAAATGTTTTTAGGAAATAACTATGCACAGGAAAGATCTTATGAACAAAAGCATCTATGTTTGAGCAAAGTTCTGTGGGTTTTTTAAAGTTGTTTTGCTCCATGGGGAGTGTCTTTAGATGAGTAGAGGTTGATACACACAAAGATAAAGCTTTTCTGGTTTGATCAGTACAAAAGTCCTGACCTCTCAAATGGGGTACTTTTTTGTTTAGGGCTTGCTTTATCAGTGTGATTATTTTAATTGCTGTCTTGCTCATGCATTAAAAAAAGCTAATGTGAATTTCACTTTGGTTGAATTTAATAAGCTCTGGTCATGCTAGAATTTGAACTGTAGACTCAGATATAATTGAAGAAAATCATTGATGGCACAGCGAGACCATATACAAATGCTAATTTCATTTTTACTGAGAGTAAGATCAGTTTATTGTTACTGAGTTGATTTTTTAAAAATATTTTAAATTTTACTAAGGCTCTGTGTATGTAAGGCAATTTTAACTTGCAGGTTTAATTCATAAATAGTCAATGTGAAGAACCACTAAAGTCTTGACTACAGCTGAACTGGTAGGAGCACAAATGGAAGTTTCTGCAAAAATTTTCTAGTGTAGAGGCTGCCCAAGTGGCTGTTTTGTCTAGTGGCAAGGCTCAGGAAGTAGGATGTCAGGCTGTGTCCTAGGGTCAGTCACTGAATTGCTTTATAGTAGTGGTCACCAACCAGTAGATCGGGAACTACTGGTAGATCTTGGAGCCTCTGACAGGTGATCCTGACTGGTTTGGCCAGGAAGCTATCAAGCACTGGAACTTCAGTTGCCCCTCCACCTACTGTTGTGCTTCTCCTGCCCTCTGCCTTGGAGTCTCCTGCTTGCTGTGCAAGGTGTGGGAGGGGGAAGGGAACACTGATGTCAGGGTGTCTGTCCCTCCCCCACCCATCTCCATACAGAGAGAAGGGGATGGAGGATGCTTGGCAATGCATCTGTCACACACACACAGTGTATGTCTCTGTCATTCTCACAAACACACACTGTCCTTCCCTCTCAGCTCCTGACCCAGCACATACATGAGGGGTTGTTACTACTTTTGCTGCTTACAAAGCGGGTTAGCTTTAGTTTTTGACTGGACGGTCTGTGACTGGTCTGTGCACTTCATAACTTTCATTTCTCTCTTACGCTTACATTTAATTATTTGAGTAGTGAGTTCTAAAATGCCTATTCTGTCATGTCTGGAGTAATTATCCCTGTGGTTGATTGTGCTCCTGGAGGTGGCTGGCATGTCCTTACAGCCCCTGAGAATGTCAGAGCAGGGGGTCTCCACATGCTGTCCTTGCCTGCTGACACCACTGCTGCAGCTCCCATTGATCAGTAATGAAGAACTGTGACCAGTGGAGATTGTGGGGTTAGTGCCTGTAGATGAGGGACAGCACATGGAGCTGCAGCTATACATGCCAGCTGCTTTCAGGGGTGGTGTAGGGCTAGGGCGGTGGTGTGCCTGCCCTACTTCTGCTGTTCGATCCCTGGGGCAGCTTTCTGGTTGCTCCTAGGGTGGAGCTTGAACCCACCACCCTGCCCTCCCCCGGCATCTGCTCTATCCCCCCAGTCCACTCCACCTCCCTCCTTCCAGAGCGTCCTTATCCTGCCTTCTTAATGCAGAAGCCAGATCCATCCATGGGGCAGCTAGTGTTGGGTGCTCAGCCGCTGCCTGGGTGGGTGATCGGACTCAAGCCCTCAACCCTGTGCTCCCGAGGCAAATGCTGTATTCCCTAGTCCACTCAAGAACCCACCCCACCTCCCTACGTTCAGAGGGTCCTTTATCCTTTGTCTGGTCACTCCCACAACCAGGGGGTGGGGAAGGAGGGGCTTGAAGATAGAGAGGTGTAGTGGGATCTTCAATGAACTTGGGAATAGGGCATTAGCCTCTTGCGCACAGAGTGGTGGGCTCAATCCTGCCCCCTCCCCGCACACTCAGGCAACAGCTAGGGAGCCAGCACTGGCTGCCCCAAGGATGGAGCTGACGCCCCTATTAAGAAGGCAGGATAAGGGACCTTCTGAAGGTAGAGAGGTGGGGTGGGTTCTGTAGAGGCTTAGGGCTAGGGCATTCACCTGGGGAGCACAGCATGGTGGGTTCAAGTCCCATTCCACCCCCTAGACAGCTCAAGCCCCCCACCCTGGGAGCCACCAGATACAAAACAAGGGATCCTCTGAAGGTAGAGAGATGGGGTGGGTTCTGGAGTGGACATGGGAAACAACACTTGCCTGAGGAGGGCAGGGTTGTTGGTTGAAGTCTCAGCCCCCCGTGCCCTGGGAAAGACCAGACAGCCAACACAGCATAAGGGACCCACCAAAGGTAGAGCAGAGCAGTGGGGTGGGCTCTTGTGTGATTTAGGGGATACAACATTCACCTGGGGAGCACAGGGTGTTTGGTTCAAGCCCTGCTTACCCTGAGAGCAGTGGGACAGCCAAACACAGTGCTGCCCCAGGGATGGACCAGGCTCCTGCATTAGGAAGGCAGGATAAAGGGACTCCCTGAAGGTGGTGGGGTTGGCCCTGGAGTTCTAGAGCCCCTGGCCCAAGACCAGAGCCTGCACTCTTACCCCAGTGTGGTAAAAGTGAATGAGAATGGGGGAGGAAGGGCAGTGGAGTGAGCAGAGTGAGGCCTTGGAGAAGGGGTGAGAGGAAGCCACACAAGGGTAATGTAGGTTTGAAGTAGATCTTACATTACACTTACATTGAAAAAAGTGATCTTGTGCTTAAAAAGGTTGGAGACCACTACTTTATAGCCTGGAACAAAGTCCCTTAAGGGGGACCTGGAGTGGTGTGATATTTAAATTTACTGGGCATGGTTTGTGCAGCTTCACAATATAGCAGAAGCCTTGAAAAGTATTTTGTTAGATTTGTTTTGTAAAAGTTTGTATCTGTTTTAAAAAATGCAATGTAAAGCATGATCTTCCCTGATTCTGTTAGATGATCACTAGTCTACATATACCAGATGTTTTCTTTGCGCTTGCACTTCATAGGACATATATTCAATTAAATCACGTTGTTGGGCATTGACAACAGAGACAGGTTCTGAAATAGCATTAAGGTTTGTCATGTTAATTCACATATTGGAAATTGCAGGTTAGTTTCTACCTATTCTTGACATAGCAGAGCCATTGTGGCTCCATGGAATTAGTTAAGGGCTATCAGGGTGATAAGATTGTTAATAAGTCCCCAAATGCTCATTGATGATGACTCATACTTCCGACCTATTATCAAAATCTGAGTGTACTGGAGACAGAATTCTCTGCTCTTGAGAATTATTTGACCTGCCATATGTTGAAAAAGGAATAATTTAAATTTAGTTGAACATTATTTTTACATTTAGAAGAATGTATTATGTGTGGTGGTGGTGGACGTTTCTGGGTTGGTTGGGGGGGAGGGGCTAGACCTAATTGTGTAGGAAGCCAGAAACTCAGGAATAAAACACAGACTGTGAATTTAACCCTTTTAAGCCTAAATATTACTGTGACTGGTTTATAGGATAATGTATAGGTACCTTTTGGAGCAGGCATGATGGTATAAATTAGAGTTCCCATATTGCTTCACAATTTTGCTTTTCATGGGATTCACTCTCTTGATCATACTGGCAGGAAATGTAGGAATCATAGGTAGCAGACAGTGGGCTCTGAAAACAGCAAAGGGCAAAAGCAATGTGATATCTAATATAACTCTTTTGAAAGCTTCACATACCTGCTGTAGTAATGGCTGTTACCTTCCTACAGAAAGACATTGTTGCTTCCCTTTAGTATCATACTTTACACAAACAAGATGAACGCTATTCTATCAACTGACTTTATAATACACTAGGGGGCTGCACCCGCTGCTTGCTACACTCACCATCCCCTGTCTCTCTGGCCGCGAGAGCCTGATGATGTCATTCTGTCGTGCAGCAGGAAAAACGTTTTTGTACGTAGTGAGAGATTTAGCAATCTCTTAAAACCTGGTACATAGTACTAGCCCTTCCCCCCTCCCCCTTTTTTGAAATTGAACATAGCAAGTTTTATCATTTTTGTGCCTTTGGTTTAAATGTACAAGCAAACACTCAATTAACTTTATTTATGCTGATTTGATAGCCTTTCTAATGGTTTGGAAAAAAATAAGTTATGTTGTCTAACACCGTATTGGATTCTGAGAAAAATGCATGTGGCTCCCTGGCATTATGTGTTCTATTTTGAAAAAATGTTCGATACTCAGTTTTATTCATTGCTTTTAGGTATTTGGGAATAAGATGATCATTCCTTCCTTGGATGGAGATCTTTTCCAGTGGGATCGTGATCGAGAAAGTATGGAAGCTGTTCCTTTCACAGTTGAATCTCTGCTTGAGTCATCCTACAAATTTGGAGATGACGTCGTTTTGGTTGGGGGAAAGTCCCTGACCACATACGGGCTGAGCTCATACTCGGGGAAGGTAATGTTGACAATGGGGAAGTCGGTGTGTTTCTGTGTGTGGGGTTGTGGGTTTTTTTTTTTTTTTTTAAGAACTATTTCTAAAATTGGAGTTGCGGGGTGGTGGAAAGGGTTTAGAACTGGAGATCTAATTCTAGTGTAAAACTGCATGGAACTTTGCAACTTCTTTGATCAACAAGTTCTACTGGTGGCTGGATTTGGTATAAATTTATGTTTGATGGATAACCTAGTAGATAATTCAGCATCCCAAACTTTCAAGAAAAGTAAATGGTACATAAATTTCAGTTTAGATTTTTCTTTTCTGTAATCTAAAAAGACAGTTTAGGTCAAGCTGAAAAATAAGGGGTGTGTTGCATGTCAAAATCTGACCAGTCTAGTGCTGATTTCTGGAAGGTTTTAGTACTTTTTACAGGAACTGTTACTTATCTTCTATGGCTTTTAGTAAGTAGAACTACCCACATTGACTGCTGCAGAAGATGATAATTTATTTTATCAAAAAGCAACTTTTATGAAAATTCATAAAAAATGTCCACTTTGGTGAAACATTTTGTTTTTACAAAAAAGTGTACCTTTCTGGGTCTTCAGAATTTGTATTGAATATCTGTCAAATGATTGTTAAAAGTTCACTTAGCTAAAACTAAATTTTTACCAAACACCATCTTGAGAATGACTTCTTGAAGGATGGGAAATCAGGTGGAGGATTGAAAAAACAAAGCAGTTCTATTTTTAACTAACTTAACTTTTGTGGAAACTTCTCATGAAACTCTGTGCTTTCCTGACCAGCTCTCTTTAAGGTTGCAGCAGGTTGAATGTAGTACACCTTGGTGGAATAGTTTACAGCAGTCTCTAAAGATAATGCTTTAAAAGACCTGGGATTGCAGCAGTGGGTGGAGTCCATTTGTTCCTTTTGACTATCTGTTTGACAGTTGGACTGTCTGTTCTGCAGATGATGTTTGATGCCGCGTTGGAGGGAAAAGAGCTCTTTGGGTTTCTACTTTAACTTCTGGCTAGAACTCAAAGCAGCAAAGTTGCTCTGAGCAAGAAGCAGTGTCCAACTTTCCTTGGCCACAGAGCTAGAGTGACTTACAGCATTTTGTAGGGTGTATTGACGGTGATTACCTTCTTGGAAGACTTGAATTATTTTCTGAATTCCTGTCTAGGTCCCTTAGGATCAGAAATGCTTAAGTCAGTGCATTACCGCAGCAGGTAAATTAAGATGCTCTTAATCACTTTCCAGGCTAGCTAGGCAGTATTGAAGGAGAGTTACCTGCTCGTAGACAGAACATTGTTTCAACACTTGATAAGTTACCCTGGTTTAAATCAGCAATAGCAAGTTAGAAATCATTTAAGTTACACTGATGTGAAAGTAATGTGACATGAGAATGGAGCTCTTTGTTTCTTACTGAAGGGATTTTCTGAATTTTTAATAAATGTCAGGATACAATTGGAGAATATTAATCATGGTGGTGGTGTGATTTCTGTATAAGTCACATAAGAATATGTAAGAATTTGCTATAACCAAAACTTTCAAAAGTGCTTAGTGATCATGGGTCCCCAATCAGAGACTTATTAGTGTTTTCTGAAAATTGCAGCTCTCTGAGCACCCATCATCTGAAAAACTGATCTATTTAAGGTGTCAGATTGTATCAGATTAGCCACCCAAAAATGAAGAGCCCCAAAATCACTGGTCAGTTTTTAAATGTTGTCCAAGGTCTCCAAATAACTTTGCTGTAAAGGAGCATAACATGTCTCTGAAGATTTGTTAACTCTAAATATCATAATTGAGCTACCTCATTTGCTTCATGTTGGTGTCCTTTTGAAATTCCAAGTTTATGTGAATTTCTTATCTCGTCCTTTAGGTGAAGTACATCTGTTCAGCTATAGGCTGTCGCCGCTGGGATGATGATGAGACAGAACAAGAAGATATTCTTCTCCTGCATCGAACCCAGAAAACAGTTCGTGCTGTTGGGCCACGTAGCGGCAATGAGAAGTATGTACAAGCACAGTTTGTGGTCTTGGAGCTCTTCTTAAGACAGTGTGACAGTAATGCACAGAGACAAACACACATCCTTAATGCTTATTGTTTCTGGATTTGACATGCTTTTTACCCCTATTAAAGTTGGAATTAATGGGGTTTTAGCCTTCCCACTAAAGACCTGTCAGGCTTCTGCCATTTGAGTTCTAACCCTGTGCTTTCTGCCATTTTGAGGACCTCTTTAACATCAGACTCCAGCTTGGGTCATAGATAATTAAGTAGGAAAGGATTTCCCTCGACATTTACTCTACCTTTCTTATATCAAATGGGAATGACTTTTCATTGGACCTAAATACATCTAGTCAGCTTGCCGAAGAGACCACTCTTAACAGTATTTGACTGATAACAGTAGTTTTGAATATACAAATTGAAATGTGTCCTTTTCCAATTTAAGCAAATTGTTCTCAATTTTATTGCTGTTTTTCAGTGTTCTTTTCCCCACCTCGATAATCTTTTGGTTATTTTTATACTCAGGTTTTACACTTGTCATTTTCAATGTAACCCTATAGAATAAAAACATTTAATTTGTTTATAATGTAATGCCTGTTTTTCAAAGTCCTTTATTTTGGCTGGTCACTTATTACAACTTTTCTGTACTCCTTACAAAGCCATGGAGATCAGAATAGTGCACATGTAGTCACACCATTGCACTTACTTAATATGGGATCATAGAAATGGAGGGCTAGAAGGAACTTAGAGTCTTCACATCAAATACCTGTGCTGAGACAGGTTAAAGTAAACCTAGCCTAACCCTGGCAGGTGTTTGTCCAGCCTCTTCGTAAAAACCTCCTCTGATGGGAATCCACAAATTCCCTTGAGCTAAATTTAACCTTATAGTTAGCAAGCTTTTTCTAAGATGTAATCTAAAACTCCTTGCTGCACATTATGTACATTACTTGTCCATTACATGTCAGTGGACATAATGAAAAGGATGATAATCAATTTTCAAAACAACCTTTTAAGGTATATAAAGATTTATCAGGTCCCTTCTTAATCGTCTTTTCTCAAAAGTAAATGTGCCCAGTCTTTTTTAACCACCTCCTTGGTCAGCTTTTTAAAATCTTTTTTGTAACTCTACTCTGGACTCTCTCTAAATTATCCACATCTTTATTAAGATGTGGTGCCCAGAACTGGACCACAATACTCCAGCCGAGGCCTCACCCATGTTGAATAGAGCAATTCAAGACAATTCCGTCTTACATATGACACTTCTGTTATACACTACACAAAATATTAGGCTTTTTTTGCAGTTGTTTCACATTGATTCATATTCAGTTTGTGATCCATTCGACCCCCCAGTTCCTTTTCTGCTTTACTTCCACATAGTTAATTATTCCCTATTTTGTAGTTGTGTATTGGATTTTAACTTTTTCTGAGTGTAGTACATTGCACTTGACTTTATTGACTATCACCTTGTTGAATTCAGACCAGTGCTCCATTTTGGAAAGGTTACTTTAAATTTTAATGTGGCCCTCCAAAGTGCTTGCAACCCCTCCCATTTGGTGGTATTTACCAATTTTATAAGCTCTTTCTCAACTTGGGCAGTGAAGAAACTCAGTAGTTTAGGGCCATGCTTGATATGCCCTCTCATTTAGAGCGTGAACCATCAGTAATTGACTATGGTATTTCAACTAGCTGTGCACCCATTTTATTATAATTTAATTTAGACTCTCTATTTCGTTAGTTTGCTTATGAGAATGTCATGTGAAACTGTCAAAAACATTACTAAAATGAAGATGTATTGTGTCTGCTGCTCCCTTCTATACGTTAGTCATTAACGCTGCCAAAGAAATAAATTAGGTTGGTTTGGCATGATTTGTACTTGACAAATCCATGATGGCTATTCCTTATCCCCCTGTTGTCTTATAGGAGCTTGCAGTTTGATTGTTTAATAAATTGTTCAAATATCTTTCCAAATATCAAAGTTAGGCTGACAGGTCTATCCTTTCCTGTGTCCTCGTTGTTCCCCTAGTTAAAAATAGGTACTGTGTTTCCGCTTCTCTAGTCCTTGGGGACCTCACCTGTCCTCCAGGAGTTCTCAAAGAGTTGATAAGGTTCCAAAACTGCTTCAGCTAATTCTTTAGATACTGTAGGATGACTTTCATCAGGCCTGCCTTTGTGAGTACATCTAATTTATCAAAATATCCCCATACCTTTTCTTTCCCAGTTTTACTTGTGTTCCTTCTTCCTTGTTAATGTTGTGTTAATCATCTGGTCACAATTAACCATTTTAATGATAAACAAAGCAAAACAGGCAAACACTTCAAACTTCTTAATATTGTCAGCTTTTTTTCCCTGTTAAGTAGAGGATCTACACTTTCCTTGATCTTTCTCTTGGTCCTAATATATTGATCCTCTTCTTCTTTTTTGTCCCTTGCTAGATACAACTCATTTTGTCCCTACACACTTGTGCTATTCTTTCGTACTCCTCTTAGCAGTTTGTCTTTATTTTCTCTTTTTGTAGGTTTCTCTGTTGATTTTCAGATCATGAAAGAGCTCCTGAAGTAGCTATCTTGGCCCCTTTTTATCATGGCTCCACATTAGCATAGTTTGCTGTTGTGCTTCTAATACTGTTGCTTTCAGAAACTGAGTTCTCCTGATCCTTTTCCCTTAGATTTCCTTTCATTTGACCTTATGTACCAGTTCTCTATTTGTTCAACCTGCTTTTTTTGAAGTCCAGTGTCCTTATTCTCCTGTTCTCTCCTTCTTTTCTTTAGAATGATGACATCCATCACTTCATGATTATTTCCACCTTCAGATATTACCTGTTGATAAGAAATCAAGTCTAAAATGACTCTCCTCACTCCTCTCCTACACTATCTATATTTCAACTTAAAAAACTTTTTAAAAAGTTTTTTCTATTCCATAAGGTTAAAATACATAGAACAAAATATAGTAAAAGGACTCTTCTCATATTGACACAGTAAATATCCACAAACTAATATGAGGATAATAAAACTTCTCTACACCCCACGTCCAATTCTACCTAAAAAGCCAAAAGTGGACTTCACAGCCTGCCCAGAAAGTTAGCAGTTCTTGGCTGTAATTTGGAAGCTGGGAATCTCTGGGTTTTTTTGTAATTAGTACTGACCAGTAGCTGCCTCATTTCTTCTTTCATTGCTCCCAGGAGTCATTCTGGCATCTGATTCATCTACGTCCCTCTATCTGAGAGAGAGAGAGATCAAAAAGCAATGTTCCTTCTCAGGCAACACTGCATCTCCAGTGGAGTGTTTATATGGTAGCTTTCGTTTTGGTCCAAAATAGAAGCTTTTTTTGTATAAATGTCAGTAGAAAAAGTTAAAAGTTGAACATACCTTGTATATAAATGTATTCCTTTTTATACAGGCAGTCTGTGGGCCCTGGAAAGTTTACACTATAGTTCTAGATATCTTTGGGCACACAAAGGTATTCTTACTTATGAATAAATATTTTGCCCCTTTTGTCATTCAAGGTGAACAGCTATCCAAATGTTGAGTGTCTAAACCACTCTAACATTGTTCTGCATTGTATCAGAGAAATACTTAACAGTCTTTCCATTAATGAGAATAGTTTTCAACATTTCTGCCTTTGTATATTTGTACTATAAAACTAATTCTGGCATCTAGGATACAGCACTATTGTGAGCCACATGGATGAGATAGTCTGTCTACAAAAATTCAGTCTAGTTTCTGAATAGGTTAGATTAAGGGATGAGCAGTTCTAGTTACACTGATGTTCTTATCAATAAATTGCAGACATAGCTTTTAAAGTATTGTTTCTTTACATCCTAATGTATTTGTTACTATTATCTTTCCTGGTAAACAGCTACACTAGTATTTAGTAGTCTGATTATAATCCTTAATATTTGCTTCTCCTTCCTCCTTCCTGCATTACACTTCGATGTCTCGTAGTTACTTCAGCTTCAAGTCATTTTGAGTTGAAAATAACTGTATATTTGTGTTGTGGCTTGCATTCTGGAAATGCTAAAGTTAAGTGTGTTAATACTCCCTCTAGAGGTGCATTTTAGTTCAAAGGACTATCAGAATTTACTGCAGAAATGCTAGTAAAATGTCTTATCAAGTTTCATTTCCAGATTTCTAAGATGGGTGGTTGGGGCTCCCTTTTAAACCTCTTTTCGAGAAATCTTTTTTCTTTTTAACTTTAAGGTGGAATTTTAGTGTTGGTCACTTTGAACTGCGCTATGTTCCAGACATCGAAACTAGCGTGGGATTTATTGAGAGCAATTTTAAATCCAGTATAAACAGAGAAGAGTCTAAAATCATTTCGGATGTGGAAGAGCAGGAGGCTGTGATGAAGGATACAGTGATAAAGGTCTCAGTAGCAGACTGGAAGGTTATGGCTTTTAATAAGCAGGGAGGACATCTGGAATGGGAATACCAGGTACTGGAGATGGGGAAGTATTACATTTTATGGAAACTTAAGTTTTACAGCATTACAGGAAAATGTCATGCATTTTAATTTAGGTCACATCTGCTTGGGTGAAAAAACTGCATATCTCCTTGTACGATTTTGTATTGAAGTGTGGGGTTTTTTGAGCTATTGAACAGCTATGAACTGAATCATGGATTTTCAAGCATAAGAATTACAAATATCTGGTAAATTTATCAAGTTATTTTACATTACCCTTTCCTTCCTTACTCTTCAGTTTTGCACTCCGATTGCTTCTGCTTGGCTGGTTAGAGATGGAAAAGTCTTTCCAATCAGTCTTTTTGATGATACGAGTTACACCGCTAACAGTGAGGTCCTGGAAGATGAAGAGGATCTTGTGGAAGCTGCCAGAGGAGCCACGGAGTCTAGTGTCTATTTAGGTGAGATATCAATTGCAGTGCCTTCAATTTAACATTATTCTTCTTTCAGTCTTCTGAAAACATCAGTAGACCCAGTTGTTTAAAGTTATAGGAATACAAGTCAAAGATCTTCACCCAGTTACTTCTGTGTTGAGCCCAGTAACCTGTATTTGACTAAAGAATATTGTCCTGAAAGGCATCCAGTCTTGATCTGAAGACTTAAGGAAACTGGTAGTTTGTTCCACTGGTTAATCACCCTCACTGTTGTAAATACATGCTTGATTTCAAAGTTCCAATTTTCTTCATTTAACTTCCAGCTGTTGATTCTTATGCCTTTTTTGTCATCTGCCTCCTTACTTTGATTGTATAATGGAATCCCTGCCCCTATGAACTTTCCAAGAAGCTACCCTGATGAATATTTTTCCCTGGTAGGATGAATCTGATTTCCAAGGCAGGAATACTGTTACAAATCTGAAATGTGTGATCCATGAATGTTCTGTACTTTTTTGTGTAGAACTTGATGCTTCAGCAGCACATGTCTATCAGTAATTCCTTTGGCTAGCATATGTATGGAAACTGAACACCAAAGGACATCAACACACACATATCCAACTTGGTTAAAAATCTGAAAAATTCTTGTGATTGAAAGAGTTGCTGTATTCTTCCAGTTGGGAGAGTATGGCCCTAGTGAAAACATGAATAACTCATCTGATCGTTTTGACCAAACTGATAGTGACAGAGTAAGGTTGTAATTTTTATTATTCTTTATTTAAGCCTATTCACCTATAAAATATAGGGATTAATTGCAATTAATCAGCTAATTGAGTAGTCAATGGAATTTCCATCAACTGCTCGATTAGTTGATGGGAGGGGCACTTGCTACGTCGGCTGCAGCTTTGCAGTTTAAATGTAGTAGGAGCTGAGTGCACAGCCCCTGGCAGGTTCTTAATACATTTAAAGGGCAAAGTTGCAACATTCTGGAGCCAGCGCGAACCGGGACTGCTTAGTCCTGCCTCATGGCAGCCCCAATAGCTCACACTGCTGGGTGGCTCTCACTACATGGCTCTACCTCCCCTGCACCACGGAGACCATGCTATGGGGAGCTGGCTTTTAAGCCAGCTGGCTCCCCCCAGCACTGGCTCCTGTTTTCCCATCCCCTCCCCTGCTGCTTCTGATATAGAGGCAGCAAGGGTCGGGGAAATGCGAGTAGTCGACTCGACTACCCAATAAGTCTAGGTTTATTGGGTAGTTGACTGTTCAACTACTCTTTTACATCCCTCATAAAAGGCTTTCTGCTTTGTGCTCTGAAATGTGGGCTTATGTACAGTCATGGCATGTTTTGGACTGAGAGTTTTAAAGCTTTTTTTTAAAAACTGGGATTTAGTTGATAGTCTGTATCAGGCAATAAAACTACTACTCTTCTTTCAGACCATTGGTTTTAGTCACATTGTGGGTTTTTTGCATTGACTGAGACTTAGTTAGCCTATACAACATTTTGGCTGAAATTTCTGTAAATTAAGTCTCATTCAAATGTCAGAATTTATTTGGTGTGGTTTGTACCTGCTTTGAGTATTGTGCCATCACCTTTCCTTCTCTGTAGCACCATTACATTCTTACCGCTGACTACTCTCTGGGTAAATACACTGGCTTTCTGAGGCTGTTTATATAAGACATTTTATTTTGCTTCTCTTTTCTCACCAGGGCTAACACCCGTGTTGCTCTTCTAATGGTAGTCTGTAGTGAGAGCATTTGCATAGACAAGGCAATGGCATTTTAGCTACTATGTCATCTTGCTATATGTACAAAAAAGACAAATGTAAATCTGAGGTTGACTGATTTTTGCATCCTACCCTTCCCATTTTAACAGGTAACAGCAATGTTATTATTAGTGTTATTGCTGGGGCTTTGTCAGCTTATGTTGCTGGCTTTTAGACAAAAAGTGAATAGCATGATTAATATTTTTGAAAGGGAAATATGGGTAGCTGGTAAGGGTCCAAAGCAATTAAAGGGCAGTTTTCGTTGCTTGTGTTTTAGAATGAAGAGAACAGTAACCATTCTTAAAATTCATCTAGGCTAGTTACCATTCATATAAAGAAATGCATTTTCAAATACTTTCTCTTGAAAATAGCAGAAACTGTACAGTCTATATTCTGTTACTTGCTCGTATGGATTTCTCTTTCCTTTAGCTGAACGGATTGGTTTGTAAATACCCAAAAGTCCCTCAAACTTCTTGGACTAGCAGGGTCTGGGATTTTGCTCTGCCTCTTGGTTTAGGATAAGAGGCCTTTTGCATCACTCTAGCAATTGCTTTGTATGTTCTTGGTTCGGGCGACTATGCCCAGAGTTGTTCTGGGTGAGGAACAGGAAATGGAGGGTGCAGCCACCTTTCTTCAGCACCTCTAAGAATTAATGATGTTGGGGTGATGGAGTCTACATTGTTCCACATTAAATAATGCTTGGTTACGATGATATCCTGTCTCCCATGCTGTGTACTAATGTTGCTCCCAACAATTCAGTGTTGATAGCACCCTCTTTGAGGGTTGAGTGTGTGTTGTTGTTTTTTATTGGCTGGGGAGCCTCTGAAATGCTTCATTTACTTAAAAGGAACCCTCATGCTCTTCCCAATGGTCATTGGGTCTGCATGACTCCCAGCCTTAGTTGGTGTGGGAGCAATGAATGAACAGTAAATGGCTAAGACATTGTTCTCTGCTTCTGAAGCAAAGAGTCAATTGTGCTGTACGGAAAAGGTTGGTTTTAAATCCTTCATTTTCTCTTGAAATGCTCGGAGTCTTGAAACTGTGTTCCTAGTTGTGCAACTTTGTTCTGGGGGATGGGAAGAGCTAAATCTAAAGTCAAATATGCTCTCTGGTTTATTACTCAGGAATGTACAGAGGTCAGCTATACCTTCAGTCTTCAGTCAGAATTTCTGAGAAGTTCCCAACCAACCCAAAGGCTCTGGAATCCAGAAATGACAACGCAATTATCCCGTTGCCCACAATCAAGTGGAAACCTTTAATTCGTAAGTGACAAGCTGTAGTTTCATTAATTGTGTTGGGTTTTTTTCAAAGCAGAATGTGACAAGAAGTGTCTTGTGACTTCTACTAACTGCAGAATTAAGTGGAAGATTGTATTCCCCTTCAAAACCTGCTTCTGTGCTTTCACATTTTTTAATCTTAATGTTGAAGGTGAAGTGCCTTTGATTTGTCATAGTGATTGACAGACTTCTTTAATAATCAAACCTTCTACTGCCAGTAAATCAGATAGGCATTCTGGTCCCATCAGAAAAGAAATAAATGACTGTAGTGACATGAATGTCATTTATTTGACTTGTTTAAATTCTGATCGTGGGGGGAGATTACTGTGGGGATATTTGGAATATTTCATCCTTAATATTTTACTTGCATGAAAATCAAGTCCTTTTTTTTTTTTTTAAAGTATTTATATTCTCTATTATCGCACAACGGGAATTATCATAGAACAAGCTCCAGTCAGGAAACAGTGGGTTGTTATAACACTCTTAGCTTTTAAAAGGGAATTTCCTGTCTCTTCCTAGATTCTCCATCCAGGACTCCTGTGTTGGTGGGATCTGATGAATTTGATAAATGTCTCAGCAATGACAAGTTTTCTCATGAAGAGTACAGTAACGGAGCACTTTCAGTTCTGCAGTATCCATATGGTATGTAGCATCAGTGAATTAGTTTTTGTTCATTAAACAGCAGCTGTTACTACCAGAAGCACACTATTCAGAATTTGGGATAGTGTTTACCCAGAAAGCTAAGTAAATGTATTGGCTCTTAAATGTTAAGTACAATAGAAATTTGATTTACAAATAGAAAATAGTATTGTCTGAATGTTGGTTCTGTTTTTGGAGGTTCGGTGTTGGAGTATAAAGTTTTGTATGTGCAATAACTTCATGCACTGAAGTCTTAAGCGCTTATGCTTTCAGAGTTCATTAACTCTGTATGGGAGACTACTTGCTATGGAGTTTATGGCTTCAGATAATTGAACTTGAATAGTAGTTTGATCATTTACATTTGATCGGTACCACAAAAATCTCTTACAGTTTAGCAATATGAGCAAACAGAGATCTGTTTTTTTGTAAAGTAGCTACAGCTCTTTAAAAATCAATTTCTGGTGCAGTATTTCACATTTGTGAGGACAGATACATTTGTCCAAAAATACAACTGCTTGATAGTTTGAGGTAAGCAAACTTATATTCTTTCTTTACAGACAATGGTTACTATTTGCCATACTACAAAAGAGAGAGGAACAAACGAAGCACCCAGATCACTGTTCGTTTTATTGACAATATGAACTACAAGAATATCCGCAAAAAGGATCCAGTTCTGCTTTTGCATTGGTGGAAAGAAATAGTTGGCACCATCTTATTCTGCATTGTAGCAACAACTTACATCGTTCGCAAGCTCTTCCATCCCCATCCTCACAACAGAGTAAGCATCTCGGTTTGTTTTCTAGACTCAGATGTGCAAGTATAAGTAGTTGACAGACCTTAAATTATTAAATTGCGGAAATGAAAACCTGTTTTGATTTTTTTTTTTTTTTTTAAGAGCTTATTTAATAGAAAGCTGTTGGCTTCTATGAAGAATTTACATAGTAACTGCAGAAAGTGCATCACATTACTTTACTGGTTTTTGTAATCTTTGGAAATCTTTATATTGAGGTTATTTCATCTCCTCGTTTGACAATATCAGCTGGCTTCAGTTTTGTTTAGTGGTGTAAAGAGTTTGTTTGTGTTTTCTGTGATCCTTGTCAGCAGCGGAAGGAATCTGAAACACAATGTCAGACTGACAGTAAATATGAGCCGGTTGGTGGAGAAGTTAAAGATAACAGCTGGAATGACATTACGTGTTCTGGATATGTGTCAAGGTGAGAGAGCAAATTATCCCCAATTGAAGAAAATATATATGAGAGAGAGAGAGAGATCGATCTGTCTTAGTGAGAGAACTAGTTGTACCTAGAAAAGCTGGCTAACATGGGTGTAGGGTGAAAGGCCAGCTGGGGAGGGCAAGCCCCAGCCCTGCCCCTTCTGCCTGAGGCCACACCCAGCACAATCCTTCCGGGCCATATGGAGAGCTGTGGCTGCTGAGCTGCAGCCCGATCCCTCCCCTACGGGCGGGGAAAGCCGGGTTGGTGGCTGGAGCCAGGCTGCTACACTGCAGCCCCAGTCTTAGGCGGTCGGTTGTGTAGACAAGTTTGGGTGGGCTCTGCCTTCCCTTGCCTATGTTACCGACCTCCCAAGCTGGTTAATGATTCTGTGTGACTTAAAAGTTTGGTGATTCTAGACGATTTTAATTTTTCTGTTACAGATGAAGATTGGCAATTGCTAAAATAGCTAATACTATGAGTCCTTATCTGTACATTATCAGTCAGAGACTGCAGATAAGGTCATTTTAAAACCAGTGTTTCCCAATTTTATTTGGCCGAGGAACCCTTTTCAGCTTTTCAGAATTTTAAGGAACCCCTAGGTTTGTCAAGCAAAAAAACAAGGGGGGGGGGAACCCACCAATACATGAAAATCACATTCCTTTCCTAAGACCACCTCACCCCTTCCTTGAGGCCTCATCCTCTCTGTTTCCCTCCTCTCCATCATTTGCTATCCCCAGCCCTTATACACTCTCACTAGGTTGAGACAGGAAGTGCAGGCTCTGGGGTGGGAATGAGGGATTTGGGTGTGGGAAGGGGTGAGAAGTACAAGCTCTGGGAGGGAATTTGGATGCAGGAGAAGGGAATGTTGGCTTGGGGAAGGGGCTCCATGCTGAGGAGTGTTGGGCTCAGGTGGAAGGTTGGGGTGCTGAGCAAGCCATGGGCTTGTGGATGTGAGGGTGCAGGAGTTTGAGCTGGATATGGGAGGGACTCAGGGCAAAAAGCTTGAGAGTATGACGGGCTCAGGACACAGATTTGTGATGTGTGGATGGTGCAGGAATGTTGTGGCAAAAGACTGAGGATGTGGGGATGCAGGAGTTTGGGGATATAAGAGGCTCAGGATGGGGATCCAGTGTATGATAGGCTCAGATTTGGGGTCAGATGGTGCAGGAATGTTATGATGCTGCAGTGAGATGGGGGTTTGGCCCCAGTAGGTGGCTTGTTGGCCAGGCTTCATTTTTAAATAAAATATTATGTCAAACTCAAAAGGTTTTAGCATTGTCTTTATTTGTGAGAGGGGTGAGGAACCTGTTTTGAGTCAGGGGTCACTGACCCACAGAAAAGTCAGTTGGGGCCACACAAGTGAGATGCAAAAAAACCCCCAGGCCTCACTAATGTGGTCCCAAATGTGCTGGTGGAGGCAGGGGACAGAGTGAAAGTGGGTGCTGGGGCTGGGGAGAAGGTGCTGCTGGGTAGAAAGATGCTGGCTTCGGTGGCAGGGTGCTGGGGCAGGGTGGGAGTTGGAGCTCCCTGGTCTGGCACCCTCTGGACCTGACTGGTCCCAGATGAGGGAATTTTTGGACCAGGTGAGGTCATTTCAGGGCCCCTGGTTCTGCCCCTCGCCCACTAGGCTCCTTTGCACCTCCATCCCCTGCAACCCAACTGAGCTACCCACCCCCGCTGGTTCCCTGCACCTCCCCCAAAACCACCCCTGCAGCACCAGTTCCCTGCAGCCCCTCACAGCCCAGCTGAGCCCTGCACTGATTCCCTGCATGTCTCCCCCACAGCACAGCTGAGCTCCGTTTCACTGCACCTTCCCTCAAACCATGCAGACATGTGGACAGCGCTGATTCTCTGCCCCGGCTCCCTCCCTTCCTCCCCCTGAGTCCAGCACCTGGTTCCCAGCACCTCCCTCCTCCTGCAGCCCAAGTGAGCCCAGCGCCCCCCTAGCGTGGCACCCAGGGGCAACTGCCTGCTCCCCCCTCACTGCGCCTCAGGACCAGTACCTGGCAATCCTGCAGCACCTCTGGGTTCCGGGAAGTATGCAACTACACTTTCCCTCCCCAAACAGCTGGCATGAGTGCTGCCTGAGCAGCAGGGGCTGTTGCAACCCAGCAACTTACTTCCGCGATGCTGTCCTGCAGGGGGTGGGAGGGGGCGGGCGCGGGGAGTCCCAGGGAAGAGCGCGCTGCCTACATAGTTTGAACTGCGCAGCCCCGGGTCTCCTGAACTTCCTCCCTTCCCCCGCACCACACAGAAAGGCCCTGGAATTAAGTTGCTGGTGCCACAGCCCCAGTTATTCAGGCAGCACGGGCTGGCTCCTTTGGGGAGGGGAAGTGCTTCCCTCCCCGCTGTGGGTCACGTGGGGTCACTGCTGTCCAGCATTTCTGGAGCAATTGTTCCCTCTGCCCTACCTCCCTAAGCTTCTGCTGGCTAGCCCTCTCTCGCTCTTTCTGTCGGCGGGGGAGGGGGAGTGCTGGCTCCTCGCATGCCTCTGCTGACTAGCCTGCTCTCTCTCTCTCTCTTTCAGAGAGGACAGGGGAGTGCCAGCTCCTCACGGAATCACTAGTTTTGCTTTGTGGAACCCCAATTGGGAAACACTGCTCTAAACAATCATTATGAGATCATATGACCAGTTTCATGTGTGTGTTTGGACTAATCATAGAATCATATCATAGAATACTAGGACTGGAAGGGACCTCGAGAGGTCATCGAGTCCAGTCCCCTGCCCTCATGGCAGGACCAAGTACTGTCTGGACCATCCCTGATAGAAATTTATCTAACCTACTCTTAAATATCTCCTAATATTACCTATTGTCATGTGGAGAGAGAAAATGACCCTTGAGAGCCTCAGTGTTTACCTCCTCTATTGCTGTGTTTGTATACAAGGGTTGTGGAGAACTGATGATGATACTTCACATGTGAAAGCAGGGGAGATGGTGTTTAAAGCTAATGCTATAAGAAACTCTGCTCTTGATTGAGGAGTGTGGAAAGGGGGTGCATATGGGTTTGTCATCTGCTGATGGGAGAAAACATGAAGTTAGGGAAATGGATTATATTACTAGAATACTTCCCGTCCATTCATAACCTAGTAAAGGTAGGAATTGTTTAAAATCAGGACTAGAGCAAAAAGGAAAATGGTTGATCTGAGTCAACAGACGATTGTATCAGAAAAGAGATGCGGCTTCATAAATGGATAATTTGGAGAGGATGTGCAGCAAAATAGATTCTGAGGAAATGGGCTGCCCTTGAGAAGATTAGTTTGCAGGAGCTACAAAGGAAAACCGCACACTTGTTATATGACAAGGTGATAGAGCTATGTTTATTCAAATGAAAATTTAAACTAAGGGTATGTCTTCACTCCAAAAATAAAGTATTGATAATTTGGATTAAAATAGTGAAGACAGCATTATGGCTTAACATGGGTTAGCACAGGAGTGGGCAAGATACTGCCCATCCTGCTGTGCCCCCTGCCCTCCTCCGATCAATTGAGACCCAGGGGTGGGAGAGCATGTGAAGAGTCTTCCCCACAACAGGGGCGTGCAGCACCAGAGGGAACCACCAGCTGTTCAGAGTGGTTGGCAGTTCCCTCTAGACAGGGCAGGTTTGGGAGACTTTGTAACCCCAAACCAGTTAGGGTCTGGGGCCAGGAAGGGAGCGTATGAAGTCTCCTTCCCTCAGCAGGGGTGCCCGGTGCCAGAGGGAACCTCCAACTGTTCAAAACTGTCAGTTTCCTCTGGGCACCCCGTGCCCCTGGCAGACATGAGGAGGGATAGACCTCGCATGCTCCCCCGCCCCACGGGGAAGCTCACAAAGTCCCCCCACCCTCCTACAGTGCCGAGAGGGAATTGCCCCTTCTGGCTAAGGCCCTGCCCTTTCTGGTTCCGGCCTGCAACCACTACCAATATTGGTAAAGTGGCCTGCCTACAAAATTATTGCCCATCCCTGGCTTAGCAATTCAATTTAAAGTTTATACAGGAGCCTGGAGTTAAACGTTCGCTGCTAATCCAAGTTAAAAATGAATTTACATTTCTACAGCTGTTGTAATCCAGGTTAGCAAATGTGGATTAAGAACACATTAAATCCATTAAATGTGGATTTAGTCTTGATTTTGTTTTTTTTTACTTTGAGGATTCACCTTTAAATGTCCAGAATCTTTATATTAAGCTCACATACATCATTGTGGAAAGTTTGTATAATTTGTGTTAGCTGCAGCTTGCAGGTGCAAATGTGAGATAGAGATTGTGCTAGGTACTGTGCAAGCACCTCATCATACAGCTCCCCACTAAAGAATATACAATCTTAATAGACCAGGGTAATGGAGAAACAGAGGTGAAATGACTTGTTCTAGGTGCACAGCAGGTCATGACTTCAACAGCAATAATTGACATACAAAATGTTGACTAGTAATTTTTTTTCATCCAGGTACCTAACAGATTTTGAGCCAATTCAGTGTATGGGTCGAGGAGGATTTGGAGTTGTCTTCGAAGCTAGAAACAAAGTAGATGACTGCAACTATGCTATCAAAAGGATCCGCCTACCTAACAGGTAATGAATGAGGTTCTCTATAGTAGAAAGGATGAGTTGTTATGGTCTGCAGTTTTATTTGCTGTTGAACTGATACCCTAATATCAGTAGGTTAAGATGAATGATGCATTTTTTTTTTTATTGGAGGTTGTCTTGGTGTCAAGTGGTTGACAAACTTTCCCATAGACTGGTGAACCCTTTGCGTGAAATGCCATCAGGGCCTAAATTTGCAATGGGATTCTCAAGAAAATTCCAGTACCATAGAGGAATTCTCTTAGGTTCCATGAGGAAAGGAGACTAGACCTCTTATTATTTGCAGCACTATTAATTTGCTTCCCTCCCCCCCTCCTTTCCTACCTTTTTTTGCTTCCCCTTTTCCTTCTCTTTTGTGCCCTTTCTCTCTCCCACACACTCTTCCCACTTTGTCCTATCCAACCTTTTCATTTTCTAGTTCCTCAACCCTTGCCTTTCTTTCAGCCTCAGATGGTCATGCCAAGCTGCTGAATTGCCTTACACAGAGCTTGCAGCACTTCATTTTAGTGTGAGATGAGAGACTCTGCTACTGGGAATCTCAAATTAGGGCCCACGTCTACCCTGCAAACTGTGGTTGATGCAACTTATGTTGATGTACAGCTGCTGAAATTTGTATGTTATTCCACTGCTTGTATATATGGCTGCTTGCAGGAGTTCTGCTTGTGCTCAGTGGGAGTGCTTGTGTCGATATAGTGTGCTGTGTACCACAGGTAGGTATCCTAGTGTGCCACTCTCTATCTGCTGCAATGCCTTTTGGCACATTTTAAAATATTTGGTGAGATAACCATAAGATCTCACCTATAGATCTCTGAAGGAGGGATTTCCCAGCATGTAGCTTTCTGCATCTCATAATAACATCCTTATTTTCATGCCTTTAAAAAAAAAAAATTTTTTTACAAACCCATGCAGTGTTGTTCGATGTCTGCAATCTCTGACAGAGGCCTGCAGCTTGTAGTGCTCTGCATTATTCTTTTAATGGTTTCAAATATGGGGGATATGATTCTCCTGTATTTGCACATCCTCAGGAGGTTTTGTAGCAATGGAGGACCTGAGGATTTCTTCAATGATGGTTTGCTGAGTGGCACTGTGAAAAACAATTCAAGGTTGTCTGAATTCATGGATCAGCTGCAGACTTTGGAGTGCCACATCTGGGTCTGGGAAACAAGCATAGACTGATGGAGTGCATCGTAATCCAGGGCTGAGACAATGAGCAGTGGCTGCAAAGCTTTTGGAGGTGAAAGGCCACATTCCTGGGTCTGTGTGCTGAGCAGGCCCCTGTCCTTGAGTATCTGGACACCAGAATGAGGGCTGTATGGGCCATGAAGAAACAGGTGGCACTTGCACTCTGAAAGGTTCAGATGCTGGAGTTTTGGGAGTTGGGAAAACTCAGTGAGAGGTGTTGTTGATTAAGTTCTCTCTGTGCTGGGGCTGCCGCTGCTCCAAGCTGGGGCCAGGGATGAGGTGTATCCTTCCCCTGGCCGTGGCAGCTCAGGGCCAGAGGAGCATGCCTCTCTCCTGGCCACAGTGCCCAATCCAGAGCTGCTGCAACCGAGGGACAGGGGTCCCTTCCATGGCTGTGCCCAATGGAGCTGCAGCAGCCATGGAAAGGTGCCTCTCACTTGGCCCCAAGTTGCTACGGTGAGAGAGGTCTATAGGTATTCCTCTCTGCTCAGGGCAGCCAGTGCCCTGAACAGCCTCCCTCATGCTAACCCCTTAGCACCATTCCCTTCACACTGTGTGCAGAATGACTTGTTATATTGGTGCCCATAACAAAAATAATAGAAGAAACTCTGCTTGTCATGCAAGCATGCAGGGCCATTAATCATCCTACTGTGCATCACTGTGACTCTCAGTAATGTGCAGGACATAGTGGATGGATTTGCAGCAGTAGAGTTCCCAGAGTGCGGTGGGGCAAGAGCACATATGTCCCTAGTTGGTCATCAGCCCGCCTTGCAACAGAGCATATTAAGACAGCTGCTTTTCTGCTATTCAGGTGGTGCTTGATGTTCACATCTTTAAAAGCAACAGATTGTTTAGAAAGCTGCAAGCAAAGACATTCTTGCTTGGCTCTTGGGCTACTTTTGTAGATTTTGAAGTGCCAGTAATGATTCTGGGAGACCCCACCTACACCATGCTCAAGAAGCAATATGCTGGCCACATCAACAGTACTATTGAAAGGTTTAACTACTGGCTGAGCGGTTGTAAAATCAGTAATGGGCTTTTTGATAGATGGATAAGAGATGCTAGCAGTGTTTACTCTCTAGTTTGGGTCTGAGTGAGAAAAATAGCCCACTGGTTATGATTATAGCTGCCTGCTGTGTCCTGCATAGTATCGGTGCAGAAAAGGGGGAAAAACTGGTGGAAAGCTGAGGTGAAGTGACTTCATGCTTTCCGCAGCCAGACACAAAGACCAGTTAAGGAACCTGACTTGAAACTGCGCCTGAAGGAAGCTTTGAAAGAGCTCTTTAATTGTCAGACTCAGTTGTGTTCTCTGTTGAACTGTTTTCAGCCTGGAGCTTTGGGTGCTGTTAAGAATTACGCAGTGCATGCTATTCTTTTATAAATATGACTGGGTGTTTTTCTAACCCTGTGAATTAAAAGAGATCCTTTTGTGCATAAACAGAGTGCTCTGCTTGAGCCTCCCTCCCCG